ACAGAGATCGGAACAAACGAAAAATAAATCTTTAATTTATCAAAACTAACGATGCCTCGAAGTATCAACCAGAAATTTATCCCCAAACTTTGCCTAAAACTCTACGAAATTTTCCAACTCTCAAGTCTCTCGAAACAGAAAGGAATAATTAACGGACGAGAAGAAAATCAATTGCTTTCAATTTTATCCGAACGAATACGATGTTTGGATAAGATGCAGGTTCGAGTGATCCTAAATCGTGGATAAGGGGGAGAGTGAAATTTATGTGTTTTCAAAGTTTCACGGATTTTAGTATCGCAATTATATCGAGGCAGGACTAGTCGGAGATTGAGTTGAGGCTCATAACTCTTGCCGGTCGTAACGTTCAGCAGCAGACTGCTCAGTCCTGCATTTCATAGGCCGCCAGATGTTACGTACCTACATATCAGCAGGTACCACTTCACGTGCGCATACGTATTCATTACTAAATTACGCCCACAACACGGTTGTACGGCATAGAGGCGCGTTTCAACCGCGAATTGCCGATAGCGCATAAAACAACATTGTTCGTTCTCCCTTGTTTATTTTACCAGATCTGACCCATACCTGCAGGCGAAATACTGCGTGCAACATTTAAGAATGCTTGTGTACAACGGTCATAATTACACCCACGTGCAACCCATGTGTCTAATTTTTTGAGCAAAAACACCTGCGTTGGACGTTTCGGATCGTTTAAGCATACAAATCCATGGGAAATTTCACTTCCTTCTGTCTAGAATTGAAGCATATTAAGCACCCGAAAATTAGGAATCTTTTCAACTTTGTTCTCACCACGAAGAACCAAAGAGTAGCAAAAATTATACTTCTATAGAGGTTTCTTGCAAAACTAAAAATTTTCCAAAAATTGGAATTTTTTAGGTATCGAACTTTCCTCTGTCAGTTTTCATTTCGATAAGTCTGAGTTTTTACGATAGAGATCAGCGTTGACATTCGTCGAAAATTAAGTGGCTCGTGATTATCGCTGATCTCTGTTCGAAATTGCAAGAGATTCGTGTTTGCGTAAGCGCGAAAGAAAATGAAGAAAACAAGGACGGGGCGAAACGAAGGAGGAAAGGGAATTATGGAAGGTGCTGCAATGACACCTAATTAAATTCACCATTATGCTCCAATACCGGAGTGTCTGGCATCTCTATTCTAGTTCCTAGTTTAACCTAAAATGCCAGATAAAGCGATATGAAGTTAAGAGTGGAAAATTAGGGGAGTTCCCCTGAGGTCCATGTATACACGTAACGTAACGATATTCTCTACTTTGAATGTACTTCAATTACAACATTTCCGACTTCCCGGACTCTAAGTTTCTACTTATTCAGGAAATGCTCCGTGAAATTGCTGCTCCTGTACACACTTTCATAGAATTCAATTCTACGAACATATAATAAGGGAAACTTAATCTACAGATAAGTTCGGTAATTGAAATTCTTTTAACGAGTCGCAGGAAAACTACGAACTTCCATGTAACTTCTAATACTGTCACTGTAAAACACTACCGTCCTAACATGTATACGTATACCTATAGAAGTGAGAATTGTTCGTTGAAGTATTCACGAGTAAAGAGAGATTCACGAGGATAACGAAGAATTGCATCGTCCCGAGATACAAGATGAAATTTGATTTATCGAGAATTTGCAAAAGGAAGAAGAAGAAGGAGGGGGAAGTTCGTAACTAACTGGACACAGAGTCAGGAAGCGACCGAAGGCGAATAGAACTCTTAGTATCCTATCGGAGGTTTCGCCGGCCTCTCGAACATCAATATCGGACAAGATCAGAACTTAAGGCAATTGCGCACTGATACAACAAAGGGCATCGTCTAACGCGGTTATACCTCGTAAGCGAAATTCTATTGCTATATCCCATCTCGAGCGTCTATATTGGCCTCTCTCTGAGAACACAACCGGTTCTCTCATCCTGCTCTTCTCATCATCTTCCTTCGTTTCCCTCGCCGCTCTCTTTCTCTCTTCCTCTCTCCTCTTTTTCACCCATCTCTTTCTCTTTCTCTTTATCTCTCTCTCTATCAATACCGACCTAATCTACTTTGCCAGCAAATAGTGTTCACGTTCCCCAGACAATGGTTTTCTCTTAGCTGAATACCCCGTTCGCCGACTCATCCCACCACCTTATCGTATCTATTCAATACACCGATGTACCTTTTACTTTCTCATGCCCTATGATTTATTTATTGTCCCGCTGATAATCGCTCGGCAGAATCGTTGCCGTGTATCTATACGGTTCGAGCTAACGCCGGAGCTCCTTTGGAAATTTTCCTGGGGATTAATTGCAACGACCATTAACTACACCTTTCGACCGGACGAAAATTCAAGTCTAACGATGAACCACGGTTATTAGTTCGTGTAATTATATCTGGATAATGTTCGGGATATTTAGATCGATATGAAGTGTATAATTATAGTTGTAGATGGAAGATTTTCGGGAGGGGGGTAGATTCCAGTGAAATATCGCAAATTTTATCGGACTTAATCAGATCGTACGATTTTCTCTTTTAAGACGTCGCGAGAAAATTGCCCCTACCTTCACCAACACAGACCCCACTTCATCCACGACAATCCCCTGACTAATTGATTCCCAGGCGGGTTTCGTTGGAGGCGCCAATTTTCCACGAGTGTTAGTAAAATTAAACCGCTAGGTGAATCGAGCATTGATTATTACGAGGTCAAGCATCAAGCTTCCTTTGAAAGCGACATTAACCCCCTTCCTAGGTTCGACAATCGAGTTCCTCAGACAATAGGTACCGTCTCATCGTTTTCCACATTGACTAGCTTCTCTATGCGGCGCATCCATGCGAATTTCGCGACACCTCGTCTCTTCCTGTTTCTGGATTAATAACGTAACTTTCTCTCGAATAGTAACGCGGAGAGACATAAGTGTCCGAGTGAAAGAATAATCTCGCGTCGATGGAGATGAATTGTGAAATTCGATTGAGCTTCGATTGAAATTCTCACTTGGCCTTTTAACATCGTCCAAGGGATAACTGTGCGAGATTAACGTCCGTGAATAGGAATAACGCGTTGTTTAATACTACGAGTATTGTTCGAGCAATTTAATTCGACGTGTGATACCGAATGATGAACGAAAGGTTAAAATTTCACCTACGAAATGAATATATTCGATAAAGCATTCTCGTACCTCGTAGACCAATTGTTTAAATGGACACACGACAGGATCGTAAGTAATGCACGATGTTCCTCGTAAATTGATGGGGAAAAGAGTTTTATGCGTTGGAAGAGTTTGTGCAATTATGTCGATTTTAAAAGTTTGATTTCGACGAAAAATAAATTACACTCTGCATTTACACTCTGAACGAAAACACAGATTGGTGCAACAATTGCAGAGTGAACTAATATAATTTACAACGTTTTTGCATTAGCAGACCTGCTCGTATATTTAGGAGCGTTTAATTATGGACGAAGATCATTTAGAATCTTCTGAACGAATTTTACGTATGTGTTGAATTTAATTAAATCAACGATAATTTAATTATTCGATAGATCCTTTTTGGGACTTCATTCTGTATATTTATCGGTTTGCAAAAAAATATTTAGTTAGTAATTCTATATTTAAATAAATTTGGTGAATATTCATAAAAAATATATAAACAATTCCTATTTTTAAGACATTTATCCCCATTCCAATGAATTCACCCAAGAGAAGCGACAGACTTATCAATTGTCTAACTTTGAATTAAATAAAAAACGTCGGTTTAGTTTTAAATTGAACATAAAAAAAGTTCTAAAGAAACGATCTATTATACGAAAGTTTCCTTACTCAGAAAGAGGTGAGTGAAACTAAATTAATATTACGTTTGTTATTAATACCTGTGTTTGTTAAGATGGATGAAAATTAACAATTTAGTTCGTTAAATTAAAAAAGATATTTTATTCACAGAACATACTGAATTTAACAAGTTTCCATACGAAACAACTTGTCCAAATTGTTTATGTTATATAAGAACTAAAATTTACCATTACAGTACTGGTGTAACACATGCTTTAGCTGCAAGTTTATTTCCCGTTTGGTTGGTACAAATGATAAATGACTTTTTTCTTGAAAAAATCACAAAAATCAAGTTTTGCTTTCTAAAAATATCAAATTTCACTCCTATAGCATGTGCATGATACCTTATGTTACTGATAAATATAAAAATACAGCACATTATTGTCCAAAATGCAAAATTTATTTAGGAACAAAATTCGGATCCGGAAGAAACACATTCTACTATTGCATTACAGTAAAGAAATGTAAATGATATCTAATAAAAGTATTCTATTCGATAATTTAAGATCAAAATTACGTATATTGACGCTTATTATTAATTTGAACGTTTACTGTGAATAAAATATTAATCCTGAAAAATAATGCGTTTGACATTTCGATATATGTACATATACTACGAACGTTCGTAAATAAAATTAAAGCATAACCTATTTCGCGTAAAAATGTTATAAAAATCAAATGAAATTCTATTTATCAAAATTTCTGTATGCAAATTTTAATTATCTTCGATCGAAATTACAAGAAAAATAGGATATAACGCTGCTGTATCGTTACACTGTATTTGAATTTGCAATATGGAACGTCAATTTGAATTATACTGCACAATCAACGTATACACGGCAATTCCCGTTAAGAAATCGTATAAACTGTATCGAAAATAATCACACACACTCGCAAACAACAATTTTTCAATATTGAATAAAGTTTTAACTTACCAAATTACTGGAAACTTCGATAAACTCCACAAAAGGAATATGCGTCGCTTCGCCATGTCTGCTGGAAGCACTCCATATTTGGCGCGTCAACTATAGGGCGGATCTTCATGTATACCCAAGTATCAGCTGCATTTTCAATTTATTCAGGATCTGCTCACGTGGATTTCGAACGATACCGAAGCTCCAATCGCATGCCTGAAATATTTGATTGTGCATTAACCATAAGGGTGAACCGAACCTATTCAAACACGTACTACTGTGTGGTCAAAGTGCCAGTCATTCAATATACCGACGCATTTTAATACGTGTTTTCTACATTCATATTGTATTAGAGTAGTTGAAAACTATACAATGGGAGCTGTACGCGTAATCAACGACGACGGTCAATTTTATGAGGAATTGGCTAATGCCGGCACGAAATTAGTTGTGGTAGATTTTACCGCAACATGGTAGGCTTTTCAGGATTATATCAAATATTAAAACTGGAAAATTCTAACATTTTTGCATTTCTTGCATTTGAATTCATCCACGCTAATTTGTTGTAACTTCCGAACTTTTGTGCGCTTTTTTCTCATTTCAAGACTAACTTGCTTAAAAAAATTCAAACTATTTCATAAAACTAACAACATGCCTAGTTTAAACGTTTGTAACTATTTTCATTGACATATTATACTTTAACAATGATTTAAAACTACAATAAATCTCATTCCTGTTAAACCAATTTTGTACCTTTATATTGCACAGAGTTAACAAAGCTAATTGATTTCATTATTTGGACATATGTATCAATGTTAATTTTATCCTTTACAGGTGTGGTCCTTGCCAAAGAATTGCACCAGTATTTGAGCAGCTATCAGTCAAATATCCAAATGCGGCATTTCTTAAACTTGATGTAGATAAATGTGCAGAAACTGCTGCTGTGCAGGGAGTTAGTGCAATGCCTACATTCATATTTTACCGCAACCAAGCAAAATTGGGCTTATGTCAGGGAGCTGATCCAGTTGGACTCGAGTCAAAAATTCAACAGTTTTATGGCAACAAAGATACAGAGGATTCAGGGAGTCCAGTATCTGGACATGTACGAAGTAGTGATAATGTTTATTATCATATCTTTGGAATGATACTTCTCGTTGCTGTTCTGTACTTCTGGAATAAGTACCAATAGAAAAGTTGTGGTAACCTTCTTTCAGTGGATATTAACATTATTATAATACATTCGTTAATTAAAAAAAAATTAAAAAACTACAGATTAAAATATGCAATATAAATTATATTGCTTTATGAATTGCATGTAATTGTAAGTTTATTATCTTTAATATGTAATATGTATATGTCATATTGTAAAACTTGTACCACATTTAAATACTTCCATTTTCATAAAATTTGTTATGTATTTGTTATTTCCCTGGATGTTTGTACCCAACTTTTTGTACATAAAACTATTAGAGATATATGTTCTCTATAAGAACTTCAAAATTCTCAAATATACCTTCTGCAGATGGATTTAGCTGCTTTTATAACTGAAGCACACTGTGAATGTTTAAATGAATCTGATGAACATAATTTCTTACAATGCTTGACTGCTGGTGATGGATATTTGGAAAGTGATTGTGATGAACAATTGATATTATCAATTGTATTTACACAAACAGTTAAATTACATTCTATAAAAATTAAAGCTCCCAAAGATAAGGGACCAAAAAATATCAAGCTGTTTATCAATCAGCCTAGAACAATTGATTTTGACATGGCAGATTCTAATACAAGCATCCAAGATCTGACGTAAGACCGATGATCTTTAATTTACTATCACGCAACATTCTTCTAAAATTTATCATGCAAATTTCTTCTAATTTCGTTACATTATTTTCACACAGATTATCGCCAAAGGATATTGAAGAAGGTAATCCGATCGCTTTGCGTTACGTAAAATTTCAAAATGTGCAGAATTTACAAATTTTCGTGAAAGACAATCAAACTGGTAGTGAAACAACAAGGATTGATAACGTAGCTGTATTTGGTTCACTTATCTCAACAACAAATATGGGAGAATTTAAGAGAGTGTTGGGTAAAAAAGGGGAGAGTCATTAACGCCCAATTGTTAACACCAATGAATTGTAAAAGAATATGTTATGTCAAATAAACTAGCCTTGGCCGTCTAACAATGATTGTCTAATGGATTGTCTAACAATGATACAGAATGAACATTTTTTTATTATGTCTGTCCTATTCATGTAAACATTACATTATGTAATCAAGATCTCTATAATTACGAAACAATGTAATAAAATAAAGGAGATCCTCCAAAATAAATTGCAGCAAGTAGTTGCAATGCATGTTTTCCTTTATAAACGTAATTCTTTATTTCAAAAAAATATTGTGTAAATAATTTTTACATGTACGCTTGCACGAACATCTTACGAACTGTAAACTTGGAAGCAATAAAAAAAATTATTGTACACGTAATAAATAAACGATAAAAATGAACACTTGTACAGTTTCATTTAATTACTTATAATCTAAACAAAAATCATCACTGAATAATATACGAGGAGGAAGGATATCGAAGAGAATAGTTCAATTATATTTTAAATAAAAGTGTTTAATATTGTTTGCTTTATCATGTACAAAATCGCAAGTACAATTATTCTAATATAAAATTCGTCAGTACACTACATTTAACTAATAATTTACGGGCAAGTTTTATGAATTCGCCAAACGCCACCGCAGCGACAAGCTCGTGACCATCTTTGATCCCATGCTCTAATTGCAGCTGTTCTCGTCATATTTTGAACTTGTGCTTTCCCACCACACCTGAAATTTTTATTTATCAGAACTAACTCTATAATATCGTCGTATTAAAAATACTTCGTACTAGCAGAAAATCTGAAAGAAAACATCTTCCTAATTAATCGAATTTCGTTAAGATACGATACCTTGTACACTGTTTAACGAGAAGCGGTTGCTTTCCAAGATACAAATGCCTAATACCATCCACAATCTGACCACTGTGCATACAACCTTCAACTGAATTCAGGTCAGGCATAAATAATAATTGTTCGGGTTCTATACCGTATTCTAACTACAATTGGAGAAAAAAAAAAATGAAAAATAATTAAACGTAACTCGTTAAATTCACGAGAGAATATCTTCATCCGTTTTTACCTGTAAGGGAAAACTTTGATAAAATAGTACAGGGGTAGCTATAGCCGTAATGCTATTGCCCTGATGTAATTGTGGTATCATTATTTGATTAGGTAGCAGGCAACAGTCATCTGTAAGAAAGTCATTATCGTAGCGCATGTTTTGTCGAAATTTATCATTTTATTGCCTTCTGGAGAAAGGTTGCTGCGAATTGTAAATTTTGTCCTGTCTTCTTGCGTAACTAGTTTATTTACCATTCGATTAAAATCATGATAATAATATGAATATACGATGAAATTAGTAGCTAATAATAAAAATGAACGATTTGAATATTTTATCGAACTAGAGAGTGCTTAATTATACTTCGAATAGAACAACTTTATCGTCAATGTTTTCGATCTCTTCGTTGTTAGAATTATCTTTCAACACAAACGTCGGTTTCTCCTCGTTCAAATTCACAGAAAATTCTTCGACTATCTCCGGATCTGGATCGATTACCAAAAACACTTCTGCTTTCTCGCTTCTCGGACTTTCCACGTCCGCGATGAAATAAGTTGCTTCCCGTTCTGCACTTGTCGGACTTTCAGTCAGCCTTATCTCCTCTTTCCTATATTTACCGATGTCTTTTTCAGTCGGAGAAAAATCACTTGGGAAAAAATGTTCCTCCTCCGTTCTCTTAGGATTATCCGCTCTACTTCGTTCAGCTTTTTCAGCCTCTCTTATCAGATCGATGAAGAATAATTCTCTTGGCGAAAGAGGTCCTTTCGGTGATTTCGTATCTGTATCATCCTGTGGAGTAACTGCCACCAATTTTAAATACTCCTTCATCGACTCTCTTTCAGCCTTCCGTTTATCGTCCTCTAACTCCGACACGCCCTTCTTTCCCCCAATTTTGTCAACATCTTTCTCCACTTTTACAGTACCAAACCGTTCGATATCGTTCCCCGAATTACGACGATGGATCACAAGTGGCGGAAGATCTTTGTGCTTTTTCGCTCTGTTACGTCGAGATTCGTCGGTAATCTCTGTACTCGGTTTATCCGTGATAATTTTACGTTTAACAGAAATCGAATCGTTCAAAGGTCCAACATCTTTTGTATCGAGCTTCGTGTGAACGAAAGACCCGGGTTTCAGGGAATCATTCGTGCCGTATAATTGCAACTTCACACTATCCACGCTTCTATTATCGATGCATCGCCAAATTACAATCAAGCACAACGTAATGAATAACCAAATGAAAAACATGTACAACCAATACCCAACGTACCAACCGACAGACTTCTTTTGTATTTGACTAATGAATACGTGTAGTAAACGAGGTGCCAATACAAACCAGTAGAATAATAAAATTACTAACGTGATTGTACAAAATATCGCGAATTTACATGGTCTCGAGCACGAACAGCAACAGCTCGATTCACTTTGTAGCAACTTATCCTTTCTTAGGACCAACGAATTCGTTTGTCCCGCCCTAACTTTCTTGCTCATTTTCAAATTTCGTACAACTGGATTATAAAAGTTACAATAATATTTCCTTGCACTTGAACATTTCACGTATAGTCTCTAGGATACATTTACCACTACTGAACGAAAAAATCTGCAATACTCTTTTAACATACGAGGAAGTGGTGCTTTATCTTACTTCCTACTAACCAACATAATACGATAAAATCCAGACGATTGCTCATAAATGTTAACCACGAATGATTCCCTATTTTATTTCCACGATTATATTAAACACTATGTTCTAACGCTACATATGTATGTAATAAACGCAGGATAAAGGACTTACCGATTAAACCGTCGTCTACCTGTTGACTCTGACCATCTCCGTTCGGTTGGACCAGTTTCGATAGTAAACGGAATAACAAGGCTAATACATCGAGATTATCGGTACTACGAAGAAATACTGGTAGACACGAAGGACGTAATAAACCCCATATACGTATAATTACCAGCAACTCTCTCAATGTATTTAAAGCCTTGTGATCCTTGAGGAGCTCGTACTGCGTCAATGTACCACGTGAAAAGGAAAATGAGTATAGCTACAATATTGGGATAAGGATTAACTATGTTATTCGAATATTTATTCGCAATACTAACACCGCCAGATTTCATCTGCAACCGTTGTTCCGGGAGACGAGCTAAGAGATTCAACGCTAGATTGGCCACCCATTGGATTAATTGTTGCAACGACTGAAGCGTACTTGGCTCTACCGTAAATTCTTTGGGATCGAGGTGTAAAAGTACCTGGAGCAAATTACACATTCACAATTATCCGTTGTTATCAGACACCTGTTTATATTGTGGAACCTACATGTTGCGAATAAAGAAGAATTGAGTTACATTTCTACCTTATCTACATCGGTAATTGCTTCGTTAATCACCGTTGCTAAGCTCTCCGCTGGCCCCTTATCGTGTGAAATTAAATCTGACGGACGTAATAACGATTTAAAGGCTGTCGCTACCGAATGTATCATAAGTAACGACGACAAATCCGCCGCTTTACTTTGTCCGGGTACCAGCATTCTAGAAGTGAAGGCGATCATTCTACACGGAATAGACACGAAACAGCATACTTTTCAAGTGAAACAATTTATAAGAAGCATTTTGCTTTTTTTATTATTTAACAAACGATACGGAACCTGTACAGTGACGTTTTAATGCAAAGAAATTGGATATAATGGTATTGTTGAATTGGCTGCAATTGTCTGTTAAAAGAGACATCCAGTCTTTCGCATAACGGTTCGATCATCGAGGATCTTAAACATAACAGTATATCCAACCAATCTAATCCTGTTACTAAACAATATTCCAACAGTGTACAAGCGTAACTTAATGTTAACGATGGTCCTGTAAACAAAATATCGATAGTGGTGCGTTCTATTTTCAAGAGGAATTTGTTTTTTTTTTTTTTTTTTTTCACGTGAAGCTACGGAAAGAAGTTACCTCCATCGGGCAGTAATTTATATAAATACAAATTTCCTCGTGTATCACAGGCTAAAAGTACACAACCTAGCCAAGACAGATCTATGTTTGTTATAGAAACGGAACTTTTAAAATATTTATTATTAGGTTCGTCAGGTCGCCATGCCATATTCAAAGATGAAAAAGCTATTTCTTTTAGACAATCGCGACTTAAACAATGTACCGAAGAGTCTGCCAAAGCTACTACAACGTAACTTGGAGGAGGCAATGTGGTGACTATAGATAATTTGGTAGTAGCTATTGCTGCTATTGGTGATTGACAACGATATTGTGATTGATGTTGCCATACCTATAAATGTGTATTGAAAATATGTCGTTAAATCGGTAGATGTATACAAACCTTTGGAAACACAATTGTCTCCATCTAGAAATACATACCACTACAGTTTTAAATGGTTCCAATGTTTTGGGTTGAAACAACTTATGAACTGGTTGTGATTTTTCCCTCAATTCCCACACTTCTACTATACCTCCACTATCACTATTAACAGCAATAACCAGAGAATCTGCATCTTCACGGACTACAAACTTCAAGTGTGTAACACTTGTATCTAAGGAAATAATTCTATTATACTAAATCCTGGATGACCTATAATTAACACGATAAGAAAATTGTTTGACTTTACATGTACTGTCCTTTGGTGCACCATCTTGTAGGAAAAAACTAGGGAGTGCTTGTGATGTTATAGTACATTTATCGTCATTCTTACGTACTAATACTCTGTAACACCTAATTGGTAAGCAAATATTTCCACTGCTTACTGCTACCAAAATATGACCATCTAAAAATTTATCAAGTCTTGTATTAATCCTGTTTATTATTACTCATACAACTACTTCAATTAATACATGGATATGTATGTACTTTTTCCATAACATAAATCAACTGCTGTAATTCTGTGTCTAGTACTGCCTAAGCTTTCTGTAGAGGAGCAAACAGGATTTTGAAAATCTTTTGTAATCATAACTGCACCAACCATACCTGTGGTTGAAACCACTAGTACACCCTCTGCTGCTCTACCGCCAAATTGTCTTACAGAGGGGGCAAAAGGCAAATGATTAAATTTCTCACTATAATGTATACTATCCTTTTTCTCTGTTACAAGCCCTGTCTGAAATAACAAGTTGTTTTACTTTAAATCAAATTCCTCGAAGCTGACATTGAGAAATCCTTGGCACTAATTATAAGTACCTTTTTCCCATTATGAAACCAAGCTGCACCTAATATATGTTCACCAACAAAACAGGTAGAACCAATCAGCACCCAATCGTTAAGAACATGATCTTTAAACATCCACAACTGAACATTTCCAGTGGAATCAGCAACTACTAATTTATCACCTGGTAAATCCCATTCTAACGCAGTAATAGTGTTCTTATTTGATAAGACCCTAATGGTATGTAATAATATTAATTAATTTTGTGAAATTCTTCGAAAGAATGCTAAACTATTTGAAAACATTTCATACTTGTGTGTATGCCATGGCATATTTAAATCACAAACATAAACATGTGACCCCCATGTCTTTCCACTATTATCATCTAACTCTGTAGTTGTAGTAAATGCTGTTATATTACGACTAGATAACGAGCATAAAGATTGTCCTTCATACAGGCTAAAAATTTGATTACTGCATAAACATTAAAGAATTTTGTTTTAAAATGTATATTTTTGGAGTTAAATTTAATTATATATGCATTTAAAATTTACATAGACATTATTATGAATTATCAAAATACTAATCAAGTAAGCATTAAAGCAAATAGAATATACTTTATTTGTTAACATTTTATTTGAGCATGGTACATGAGTAACAGAAGTGCTAGAGATAGAAGTTACTTTTGATTTAAAAAAATTAAGATATTATAAAAAATTAAGAAAAAACTAACGACAACGTACCTTTCTTGATTTACAAACGGTTTTAGTGCCACTTTTCTATTTACAGTGTACAATAAATCCATTTTTGAGGTTAGGTTATTCTACAATACAACAAACACTATGAACACGAGTGCATGCACTCCAAAATTATTCGTTTATTATACTCGTGCATTGCGATGCACGAGAACATGGAGTGTAGAATTTACAAATTTTAATACATCACGTAAGAAAATTATACCGGGAAAACGACAACAGATCGACGCTCACATCGCAGTCATCAGCACTGCGTCATGTGATAAACTATGTGTTTGTGATGTGACCCATCCGAATATGCATTCTTCGTTCTGATTTAGGTCATTTACAATTATGAGACTTTTCCCATTACTTTTAGTTATCCGACTTACGACCGAACTTTAAAGCATCAAATTTGTACTCCGAATACAACATAAACGGTACTAGGCCCGTTAATCAACTTATGCAAGTGTTAATGCAGTTTAACCTCGCTCTGTTTGTTTTGATTTGCTTTTTGTCCTTTTGAAACTGGCTGTATTAATAAATCATATTTGCATCGTTTTCTCCTTATTTATTTCAATTTCCTGTACCTACTTGTGCCATAATAAAAATACAAAAAAAGGTTGTTTAAATTTTCTATTAATTTGTGTTTTTGGTTATTTATTTTTTATGGTGTGGATTTGGATACAAGCATATTACGTTATTGTTGCTTAAATATAACATTAAAAAAAAAATTCTACAATAATCATAATGCATGTTCTACAAAGAAAACTGAAGTGAAGCATAATAAATTGTTAGAAATCTTGTTTGCCTAGATTATTGAAATTTTTTGTTTACTCTGCATGTTATATTTATTTTTCTGAATATATGCATAAAGGACATCATTAGTTAATAACTTTCTACCGTCTCTTTTGAAGGAAACTATGTAGTATTTATTAATTCTTACTCTTACTTCATTCTACATTATTTCTATACCTTACACATTAAGGTGCTTTTACAGTAGACACAAAAGATTGAGTTTTTTCTTTTGCTATATGTGCTATAATTTATAGAACCTGCATATGTGATTCTAAATGCATGCCATACAGTAAGTTACAAAAAAGTATAACGACTTCATTATATAGAAAATGGATGGTGATCAGGCAAAGGACAACACTTCCAAACCAACTGAAAATCCTAACAATAAATCTGAAGAACCATTAGGACTAAGTACAGAAATTGCTATTGAGACATTGCAACGTGATATTAAAAGAGTCTTGCAAGAATATGAAGAAGACTACAGGAGAAATAAGTAATTTTTCATTATTTATCTATCATTCTTTACAATAAAATACAAATTTCATATTTTACACTCTATACCATTGTGTCTATGTGCAGAAAATATAAAGCTTGGCTAAAGGACACATTACACCATAGAAGTCAATATACAACCCTTTGTTGGACATCGGCAGTTGCACTTTTGATCAATGCCATTATCCTTGTTATTGGATTCTTCACGATCAACGATACATGGTACGAACCAAATCAATCTTTTTCTCACATAATGAAAATTCCAAACGAAATCATATTAAAAAAGAAAATTAAAAAATGCCCAAAACTTTGTATAATTCCAGGTACCCTACACTGCCTTATGAAGGACTGACTGTCTGTTGTTTAGTAGTGTTAAACTTTATTTTAGTCGTGTCGGATAATAAATTACGTCATGAAGAAATACCGTACAGAGTACGAATTCTTCTTGACCAGTTGGAAGGTACTTGAATATCCAAAAAACCTACAACTTGTCGTGTCTCAAAACTGTCTTCGCACGATTATCTTTCGTACATTTCAGTTGCAAAACACACTTCGCAATGGTATCCCGGAAATTATCCACACTTATGCAGTCCACTGTCTCCTTGTTTAACTTTGCAGTGGACATACCGCGATGGTCACATAGTTAATTTGCCCTGGGCATTATTAGTTGCTGGAGATATAATCGTTATGAAACCTGGACAACAAGCGCCTGGTTATTGCATCCCCTACAATGTAAGTTCTAACGTGATAACGTACGATAACATATGTATCACACATGAAACAAGCGATAATGCGAGATAATTTCAGGATACCGAAGCCCCAGTGTTACACGCGAGAGAAGTGTACAGTCCACAGGTCCACAGCGCAAACGAGATCTTTTCAACGCCACAGGCACGAATGCCGTTGAGGAATAAAGTTTACAAACTTCAGGAAACCCCGTATCTGATGAATCTGAGAATGGCACTCGACCAAGCTCTTGATAGGCCGGTCACATATCACAATCGTAAACGACATCTTCTAATGATCTGTTGTATTGAACAACTTGCTTACCCCGTTCTACTCATCATTGTGCTAGTTGTAAATTTATTTCGATACTTGTATTTGTCAGAATACTTTGGTGTCGGTTATTGGAATGAAATGTTCCTCCTACAGCCGATCGCTATTAGTATACCTTTACTTCCGTTAGTATTCCCGACTTGTTGGATTTTTCTAAATTGTTTCGGAATGGCACGTTTCAAAGCTCTGTTCAAGCTTTATCAATCTTCGAAGAAACTCCAGGTTAATATGCCTCGTAAAATAAGGGAGAATTTGTATCGTGGAGAGGTGGATGAAATGTCTCCCTGGGATATTTTGTAAACTATGTTCGTTTCAGTTCGTCGACCCTTTCGAGGATGCAGATTTTTCTGCACCCAGTCATCCAGAAGTAGTGTACAATTGGTTGGAATTGAAAGAATATTTTTTCGATATTCTATCTGGCAAAGAACACATGATGTCGAGATCCGCAAGTATTCTACACGTTTTAGGCTCAGTCACGGTACTTCAAACATAAGAAGATTTCAATTTCGAGTAATATTTATAGGATAGATAAAAGGTATCCTTTTCTTCCAGGCGTTATGCTGCGTGGATAAAAAGGGAATTCTTTCATGGCCTAATCCAACTGCGGAGAAAGTATTTTTTTTACGAAATGCCAATACTTTATCCCCGTCTTCGAGGTAAATATATCTAGCACGACAATCCTGATTCAAACGTCTACGATTATCGTGATTTTACAGCACTGGTAGCTTAGATAGAACTTCCGAAGCCAAATGCCAAACTCAAACCGAGAACTCCAAACAAGATTCGAATAAAACGTCCTACGTGCAGAATGGTAATAAAACACAAAAGAAAAGAAAGCAAACGGGCACCGGTTTAAAATTTCATCTGGAAATTTCACCCGTGAAAAATGAAGTATTACGTGTTACAGATCTGTCTCATTCAACGGCTGAAGTTTTGGACCTCACCCATGATCACGCTTTACCCTTTCGTCTGCAATTTGACGATCATTCGTGGAGGCAACACTTGAACTCGTTGAAACCCCTAGGTTTAGCAATTCTCCTCAACACGTGCAACATGGACACGCAAGAACATTACATGCAGTTCTGTTGCCATGTCACGTGTGAAGCTTTGTATAATGAGAATCTTGTACCAGTTACAAACAGACGGTATGTACCCGTGTGTCGTTAGGATCGCATATTTCATTTTACGTTTGTCGCATTATTCGAACTAATTTCACCTAAATATCAAGCTAATTACATCCAGTTTATCATTCGCATATTCCTAAGACAGTCCAAAGGTAACACGTCCAATTACCAGTAACGTTGATCATACACATTTGTCAGCTACCAGGATCACAGTATAGAAGATAAGAGTGGGTATCAGGCAAAAGATACAATGCAAAGTTCAAGACAAGTGTATTTAGTCGACGAGTCAGGGAGCCTTGGACACATGTGGTCAGTCGCACCATAGTTACTTTTCGTATCCTCCATATATGTAGTTAAACCGTATTATACGGGTGAATGTATCTTTTGTAAAAGATATATTCATGGGAATGCCAATCATGGGACAATCTCACACTTCTGTTCTCTTCTTCTACTTCTTCTTTTATTTTCTACTTTCTACGTCGGGATAAATACCGTTTCATTCAAGTTCTTCTATGATTTTCGCGTAGGTGTTTGTGCGAATTAGCGAAGCAAATAGGTTTCCAAGACCAAGCACAAACAATATTCCAATTGGAGCAACAATTGTCTACGTTTAGGCATGTTGTAAGCATCGTTCGAATTTTACCTTTCTTTTCCACACGTTCTTGGTGAAGGGAAAAATCGAATTACTTGGTGTTCTGTTGCAGCAACCGGAAATGGTACGACGAGACATAAAGTTCGCGCGATCTTTAAGCATCGCGACAAAATTAAAGTTTCCCTTCCCTCACATGGTCGCCGTGGTAGTCAGAGAACGCAGCGGTGGTGGTTTGCAGTTGCTTACACAGGGTACAGCAGACATAATTTTAGATTCCTGTATTGAGTTTTGGGACGGTCACGATCTCTGTCCACTTTCAGCGTCAGATAGGTACCATACAGTGATATTAATTATCAGAATTTTCCTACTTTTCGTGCGACATTCCTCCGAATATTTCGCCTTTTCTTTTAGGAAAAAAGTGCAAGATTTTTATCAGAGGACAAGCTTAACGTCATATTGTACCGCATTTGCGTACAGACCGCTGACACGCGGTATTAGCGATAAAATGACGAAAATATATTTAGAACTTCCTGCGGATAGCAAACATTTATACGCACCTCACAGAAGTCCAACTCCGTTGCCTTGGGATTTCCGAAATGTTCTCGATCCCAGAGTAAAAGGCATACTTGGCCAATTTCATTCGACAGGCAAGTATCGTAATTGTGTAGAAACGTTCGTCTTTCATTAACGCTTTCATGTGAATTACAATAGATTCCCTATTATGCAACGAAAACAAAGACGACAACGTGAGCGACGTTGATAGTTGCTTCGAAATTCAGTGCAATCAAGTGTTCATTGGCATGGTGACTATGCAATACCAAGCACAAACAGATATGGTAAAGTGCTTTGTCAAATTAATACACTTTTCAAATCGAAGATTTATAGGATTAAAAAAAAGGATGAAATAAAATGTTTCATAGGTACAATTAATCGAGCAACTCGACAGAGCCTGCATTCGTTTCGTTCACTTCAGCAAAGAGAACGAGCTAAGATCGCGCGTGTTCTCGGAGAAAATGGGACTTGAAAGTGGATGGAATTGTCACATATCGTTGCTCAGTGAGAGAGCTAGGTACTGTACCTTCTTCCATTTGTCACTAAAAACAAAAAATCAATGTCTCTATAAACTACTTTGCTTTGCTTTCTTTTGCTTTTGGATTAATCTAAAAAGTTTGGGGCATGTCCTCATGTTGGAAAGTATAAATATGTTCTTATTCTATATATATCTCTATATATATTTATACGTGTAAAAGTCTGTGTACAAAAACATTCAACACAAAATTATTACACTAATCGTATGTTGCTGATGTTGTACTACAATTTCTTCTTGAATTCAATTAATCCGTTGTCTCTTTAATGTTCTTTTTTCTCTAATCTCTGTTGTAAGTCTAAAACAAAACAAAAACAAAATAAACGCTGGTAACTTGAGATAATGAATTTCTTTAACTAGCTCTATTCGTCATAACTGTGGATGTGAATGAAAAATATGCATGTACGTTACAGGAGACAGCAATGGCTGGAGAGATATCCACACATGCCCCCATCGTATATGTTTGTCTATACCTCTTTCTTTCATTACTGTTACTAATTTGCATGTTTATTCGTTACGCTCTTTATTAATAATACTTTTCTTACGATTACCGATTTTCTAGATGACTTTTCCAAAGGTTCTAATGCGATGATCTGATTTCTTTCCTCCCCCTATTTGACTTTTTTTCTTTCCTACGATTGACACGTATACTTTAGCGAACAGTTTCGAATTTTCCAAGAATTCTTCCCTTCTTGCCAGTTATTTTCCACGTATTCTGTTATGTTTTTAATTGATTAGAATGTTTAAGTTAAGACGATTGTATTTACGCTGATAGTTTACCGATCAACTCTACCTCTACTACTACTACATAGTTTTAATGGCTTCTTCATTAGCAGATACAAACTATTTAACTCCATCGATTCTCATACACTTCTAAAAAAAAAAAAAAAAAAAATGATTCTATGCACATGCGTTAATATCTCATTATTTACCATCGACATACATCAAATACACGAAATAAATGTATGTAACTAACACGCCAATATTAGGTCCGAGAGTCCAGTGGGTTGGTGGGTGAGCCAGGCAGCAGCCATGTCCTCACCCACTCCCTCGGCCCAATCTCATCAGCATAATTACTCCTGCATGGATGAGGCCAGCCACTTGCTTAATCGTGTCTCTCCTCGGTATGTTACATATTACCCTCTTATCACACATAAACACTAAAATGAAACATTTTCATTGTTAATTCGATCTACACGTACCTATCTCTACTTTTTTTTTTCTTCGATTGAGAGATGTGCTTTCGCTTCTCGATACCGATATTCAAAAAAAAAAAAGAAAAAAAAAGAAAAAAGAAACGTTGCCGAGGTACTTATTACGACAAATATTAAGAGCATGCATTCGAACATTTTTGCTGCATAAATATGCTGCATTGATGTGTTTGTGTTCCAAGGATTCTATTACTGCATGAACGGCGCACGGGAAAATTGTTTTTTTCTATAATACGGTTCTTCTCTTTTGTGCAATTGTAGCACGAATCTGGACAACAGCCGTGCCATGAGTATGTCAGCACCAAGTGCCATAAACACCGATTTCTCCACGGTGAAATTCGACGAGGAGACTACGGAATGGAACGATACAGGAACGTCTCAAGTAAAGAGCGCTATGAGCCATAGGTTTGTCACGTTTCGACAATTCTACAAATACTCGTCGATGTATCGAATGTTATAATTATATCAGTTCTGAATTTGCATGGCAGTCTAAGTCACCTAGTACAAAGGATGACGAGAGCGGGATCGACACGCTTTTCGTAATTATTTTTCGTTCTCCCTTTCCCGGTTTTTTCAGTAGACTAGACACCTTCCTTTTTGTGTTCATCGAATTGCTCAATTATCCGATACTTTGTCCACACATGAGTTTTACGTAGTTGTAAATAGTTGATTGATCCGTTGATCAATTTTACGTTCCATTAAAAAACAAACACACGTGAAATTTTCATTGAATAATCGTTTGGTAATAGGGAACAGGACACGGTGAGAAGCGAGGATAGTGTTCTAGTACAGAGCGTGGATTTAGGTTCGGGACAAGAAGCATGGCGATCTCTAAGTTGCCTTACAGACAGCACCGAACAAAGTGCTCCTGTAAATTTTGATTTATCGAACAGGGTAAGTTTTTATCGTATAAGGTATAACAGTATCGTAAAAAGGGTTTATGTTCGCATTTATTCGCCAGGCAAAACTACCTCGAGGTATTGATAAGATTCGACCGCACATAGAGTTAATAGATAACGTACCCCTTTTGGTGTCCCTATTCACCGACTGCAACACTGTTGTTACAAGGGAGATGTTGCATATTATGCAAGATTACGGAGAAGTTGTTTGTGTACTTGGCTCCTCTGCTAACGCAGAGAACATGCCTATCTTTATGCAAGCTGATGCAGGGTAATTATACTTTAATTATTCTAATTAAATGCGGGATCATTCAGGAAGAACATTTATGCAAGCTGATGTACTGTAATTATATTGTAATTATGGCAATTAACGATTGATTTTCCCGAAGAATTACCGAGTAGATTACACGTGTCGTTCAGGAACAACGTTATTCTTAGCTGTAAAACGTCCAGGAACTTGATAGCTCGTATTGTATATCGTATCTTTCTCGATTCGCACAGATATAACTGGTCGATAACGTTCGCGAATCCTCCTTGAAATTGGTTTCACGTATTGGTACGATAATTGACTCGTAGTTCGATAATCTGGTTTGAACTTGGTCTGCCAGAAGTCTCGTTTTCGCGGCCTTTTAACTTCGACAGGCATACCGAAATCTTGGTAAGATTCCTTCGTCGTTGTTCTACAATCCATCGATAATGGATGTCGAAGCATAGCTTTGTACGGTTTACAAGATATCGTTTTCACGTATCCAGGATTCGTGTAAGATATTTTCTGAACACTCGTCATATCGTGAGATCCATTGATCGACAAACATGGTTTCGGGACAAAAGCTTTTCGAACTTTTCCAGCGCAAGCTGGATAAGAAAGTTTGTACACCGTGTCGAAGTAAAATTCTCCCGTTTTATCAGCTATTATCTTCTCGTGCTTTCCGTAGTTGACTACCGGTTTAAAGGTCCGATCGAGTTTCTTGTACGACAAACCATACGTCGTGTCTGAATCAACTTTTAACGTTGGTTTCCTGTAAGGTCTATTGTACACCATTAGACGAGCTCTACCTGGCTGCAGGTACAACATATTTTCATCTTGAACCATGGAACATTGAGGTTTCTCGAGACTTCTTGGGACTTGGTCGATAAATACCATTTTCATGAGAATTTCGATAAAATATTGTACAAATATAAATTCGATTCTCGCAAAGAAAAAATATAAAACAGTATCGGTCGTGTGTTCAACTGTTTCACGCAACGTTCAGGCGTAAAACGATGATATGCATGGAAATTGTGTAATTTTAGGGTGGCAGTGGAACCGTTGTATCCACAAGTTTGTCAAAGAATTCCTGTACTGACGCCGACTACAGAAGACCAAGGCCCATCTCCGGTTGATTTGAGCAGGGCATTGAATTCAGTTGCTTGCTCTTTAAGTGTGAAACGGGAAGATCCGATCGCGATTTTCCATTTAATTATGGAGGTAAATTCACATGATATATTAAACACGAAGGTCCCCTTTTCTATTTTTCAATCACGATCGCGTATCATCGTTCGATCAAACCTTTCAACTCGATTTTAATTTGAAAATGTTTCAATTTCAATTTCAAAATGTTCCAATTTCAATTTCAATTCATTTTTAAATTTCAATTTCAATTAAAAATTTGCAATTTCCGTTTTAATTTCCGTATTAACTACTGTTATAATGATTTATTGCACATTTAGGCTCGGCATTACATGACATGCCTCTGGAATTGCGTGCAATTCTGGCTCTGCTGTACAATAACCCTATCCTTCACTCAAGCTGTGTCTGGTTTCTTCCTATTACCACCTCTGTTTTCGGTCGATCAAGTCTTATGGTTGTGTTGTTTAATCATTCCAATGTTATCTATATCCATGATTGCTACACCCATGGATCCTACCATAATGCAACGCGCGACCGGTAAAAATCAGTGTACAATAAACGGGCAGGTAAGATGGAAAAGAATTTTCATTCTGTTTTTTTTTTTTTTTTTTTTTTTTTTAATTTTCCTTTCA